AAAGGTTGTATTACAAAAAAAAAAAACGAAAAAAAAAAAAAAAAAAACACCTACTGAACGTTTTCACTGTTAATGCCCGGAGGGGGGACAATATACAGTTCGTACGATAGCGGGGCATGTTGTCACATTGTAATGGGTTAGTTGTTAACGTTGGAATCTGCAATTAGAATAACAGGTTGTTAGCAGAATATAAGTAAAATAGTTATAAAACGAAAAACAATTCACGAAACATCAAAAATGTAAAACGTAAATCATAGAACCATTGTTTAAAAAAAAATGTAATAAATTGCATTCATTTTAAAACGACTTGTCACGACCCTACATTTATTTATTTTAAGTAAAACCTGCTTTCACTATTGACTGAATGTATGCTCAGTGTGGTTTTATTGTGTTCCCTATCCAGCAGCTATAACACAAATTCGGGAATTCACTTTTGGATCACAACGTTATTCTAATTTGAGACGATTGAATTCGATCATTGAAACCAACATATAAAACAACTGCTAGAGAAAATAAGCATTTGTGTAACTGGACATTTGACTCAAAATCTCATAACTGATGACAACCTTCTCCCCTATATGTGGTCATGTTTTTGGTGGAAATTATGGTGTTTATCAATGAAATGAGACGTTTAGTTTGGACAGAAGGTATGCTAATTATGTTATCATCACTTAACATGAAATTAGTCTAACTGGACGAAACTCCCCCACCCCCACCATATGTAAATGTACGGTAAATCTTAGGCTGTCACGCGAACTCAGTGAAGTTTCGCTTAAATTAAATAGAAACTCAAAATAAACAGAAGTGGGCAGTTTTGGTAAAGGCGTTCAGTTATTCAGCTTTTGCATGAATACATTAGGCTACATACTGTATCATGATTTATACCCTTTGCTTCTTTTCCAATATTTATTTATTTATTTTACATTTTCGAAAATGCACAGCACAGGACATTCATCTGACGAGAACATAAAAAAACTAACAAACAAACATGTAGAAAAATAATCTATTATGGTCTACTCGGGAAATATTTGTCTCACTATAACTATTGTAATTTAATTATAGTCATAAATATATACATATAGTCTGGTGAATATAATTAATGTAAAACATGCATAATTATTAAAGATGTTTATATATTAAAAAAAAAAATTTATTAAAAGACTTTTAAAAAAGTATTTTATCTTGTTTAGTCTTTGTTAACTATACACCTAGTTGAAGAGTAAACAAACATTTAGGATAAAAATAAAATACCTGAACAAAATGATGGCGATGCTATTATTAGCTTACATCATGTGCATGTCATTCACATTGTGATAAAGCTGATCAATGTCTTTTACGGGCCTGGTGACGGTGCACAGAGATGCTTCTATATCGCCACCTTCTGGAGGACATGAACATTTCAACTGTGTAAAATAGTGACATGCTGTCACAATAAAAATACAAGATGTAAAAAAATTACAGAAAATTACAGAAGACAAGCAAACCCTAAAACGCCCTTTGTCATCTTTTTTCACCTTTTAATCTTTCCAGTTTAAAATGCAAGCTGTTTGGTTGGTGCCAGGAAGCGTCTTATGCAGTGACCTGGAAAAAAAAAGAAACAAAAGTAAATTCTATACATTTTATCCAAAATAAACAACACATAGGAAAAAATAATGCAAAAAAAGGGAGGCATCATAATTTACATGTATTAACAAGATGTTTTTTTTTTTATTTTCAGCCCTTTATAGGAACATAAAAGGGAATTACTCAGAAAACATCACATGGAGCACATGGTTTGGGACAGCCATGAGATGCAGCCATTACAGAAACGTCTGGGACCCGGGGCATACATCACATGAAGCAGAGCATCTAGGACAGCCATGAGAAGAACATCTGAGACATGAAACTCTCTGAGTTGCCATTGCTAGAACCTCTGGGACCCAGTTGACTTTGCAGGGACCTCACTGTCCCTGGAGCTTGAAGACCAGGTAGACACTACAGGAAGTTCTGGTACCAGAGCAGCAAGACTGGGAAACCTGGAGCCCCGTAGAAGGAACCTCTGGGACATCAAAGTTTGAACTTGTGGATAGCCATGAGAGGAACCAGGGCAGTGGAGCTCTGAGACGAGGACGCCCATTACATGCCTTTAAGCTGGCCATGGCAGGAACCTCTGGTGAGCCTTTTTTTTTTTTTTTTTTAAATAAAGATCTTACCTTTAGACCATCCAGGCTCTGAGAAAAAACTATACACATATATACACATCCCCAAGCAAGCAGTACCGCGAGATGCAAGTACTGCTGCTTCAGGCCATGGCGCAAGACGCAACCATGGCCTGCCGGCCCCGCAAGACGCAGAGGCTTCACGGAGGGATGGACAGTCTTCCTGCTAGCCCGCAAGACGCAAAGCTGACGGGACTGGAGAAATGTCTGGGGTCGAAGCTCCTTTTCGCCACGACTTATATGGAGACCTGAAACAACACACCAAACAAAACATTAGCCTAAATACATTACACTACAAAAGCAAATGTGGCTGATCTCAGGCTCAGTACCTGAAACCAGTCGTGGTGAAGGATCTTCCCCAGACCGAGCCGCCGCTTAGGTTTATTCTGCAGGAGGCTACAGATCAAACGGCAGCAGTCTGTGCAGAAACATGGAAGCGACATCTCATTATGACCTGACGCCTTTACATCTGCACTATTCAGTTGTGAGTTCAAATCTGGAAGAGCATTTATATGATAATTGGAATCAGACTTCTTTTTATGTGATGAAGAGCTCACCCTTTGACAGTCCAGACTCTGACCAAAGGTTTAGTTCGGTCTTGTGCAGGTCATCGCCAGTTGGAAAATGGCCGCACAGCATCGTGAACAAGACGACCCCAAGAGACCACGACATTGCAGACTTTGCATGGTACTTGCCCTTGACCCTGTACTCAGGAGGGTAGTACTCCATGGTGCCTGAAGGAAAGAGATTTCATCTCGTATACAAGTTTGCATTACCAAAGCATTTCCTCTGTCAGCTTTGAGGGATAATACATACCATACAATGTCGTGTAGGCGGACTTTCTCATGAGGTCTCCACACCCAAAGTCAATCAACTTGACTTGCAGGGTGTCCTTGCTCACGATGAAGTTTTCCAACTTTATGTCGCCATAGAATACGCCACGGCAACAACACGTGCGAGCCGCCTGCGTTGCCTGCCGCATGATGTGCCGAACTAAACCTTCATCGAGCCTGCCTCCGTGGCCCTCCAAGAAACTAACTAAGTTCTCGCAGGGCGACGGACACTCGAGGACCATGACATAGTTGTCCCGATGGTCCTGCCAGTCCAGCAGCTTTATAATCCCTGGCTCGCTGGGTCCCTTGTTGGCCAGGAGTGTAAGGGCGATCTCCACAGGCAGAGGGTTTGGATGATCAGGCTAGAAGATGGACAGTTTTAAAATGGTTTGTTTACTGAAAAACCATTTATAGTCTGCGATTAAAGTTCATCTGAGATGTTTTAAATGAAAATAGTGAGTGAGATGCCTTACAATAGTTAGATCTTCCATGTCGTGTGTCTTCATGACGTCTTTCACTGCCACCTGATCAACAAAACAAAAGTAAAACAGTTCACATGTGTGTAGAGGTCATACAATTCCACTCATTAAACCTGAAGACTGTGGACAGGATGTGAAAAGGATGAGGAAAAAAACAGTTGCATAAGTTCTCATTTATTTGTACTCACCTTAAGGCCATCCTCCACACGACTCGCTTCATGAACGACGCCAAACCCGCCTACCCCCAGTCGATCACCGAGCTCATAGCGGCACATAATGTCATCTATTAAAAGAGAAATAATTGCATTTGACACTTTTTATGTGGTTATTTTCAAGGGGACATTAAATAGTCTGGGTGAGGGAAAGCACAAAGGAGAAAAAAAAATTAAATTCAAAATAATTAAGATTTCAAATTTAAGGAAATAACATTGGAGACTAATATTTTATTATCATATCTTAACTTTAATAAGGATTTTTTGTTGTTGTTTCTGAAAATCATCCTAAGGACAGTATTTATTTAATAATTACTTATGCAATTAATGGATACTCATATCAAGGTTAAAATTCTTTTTTTGTCACACAGTCATATCATTTACCATCAGCGCTGCTGGCTGGCGATGGTGACTCAATAAGCTGCACCTCAGTCTGACCCGGGCGGATCATCTTGAGGTGTTTTCTGGCAGCTTTGAGGAAAGAGGGCAGCCTCCAGAACCTCTTTCCCCTCTTCTTCTTCTCCTCCTCCTCCTCCTCCTCCTCACCCCATGCCTCCCTCTGCTCCTCCTCCCTCCTCTGGGCGTCTCCCTCACCGGCATCGACAGGCGGCTCATCGCGCAGATGTAGGTATTGCTCCGCCGCCTTGTCGGTGTCGGGTGTTGGGGGTGTACTGGGATGGTGATCGTACACCGCGCCATCATTCACCGGAATAACTCGAGAAATTCGCTGTCCCATTACACTGATAACCGCTAACAACTCTTGTCTTCGACCACTACTACAAACCCACAAAATGTTTCACGTAATTCCATTGCTTTATATACCGCGCGCGCCAACATTCAAAACTTTTAAATGCGCTCTATGGCGTCATAATAATTGATACCGCACTGTCGTAATGATAATGACTTCGGATATGTAAATTACAGTACATACAAATAAGACAAAGATAATTAGTTGAATAAACCTAAACGACAATATATATCAGTCATTCTTGAGACGTGGGACAAAACAGGTCCAGCAAGGGTAACTGCTATTAGCTTTAAAAATTAAAAATATTTTCAATTTTAAATGTCATGAGGGATTAATAATAGAATGTATTTAACACAATTATCACCTTCAATTTAATTTTCTCATTATTATACCAAATCTGTGTTTCTTAATGTCCTCTCACTACGTCTAAAACAGTGTGTCCACAGAGAAGGGTTCAATCATTCATATGCAATAAAATGGATAAAAATGTTTTTTTAATGATGAAAAAGAGCTTGTTTTATCAAAAGCAACACTTAATAATATCTCCTATCAAATCAAAGTTGTTTTTTTTAATGACACATGCATGTTTCATAAGATTTTAAAGTTGCGTCCCCACTTTTTGTCAACACCGTCAGACATTCAATAAAATGTAATAAAATCAGGGAATATCAGGGGCAGCTGTCACTCTAAAGGACCCCCTTGCCACAGTTCACCTCTGCAGAGTACA